ACATGGGAACGTAGAACAAAAGAAGATATAAATATTTTAAAATTAGGAAAACATTGTACAATTGATGTCTTAGGCTTCCATAGTTTTGATCTCATTATCGTTGCGATAGAGTCAAGTGTGGTGGCATCCAAATGATTGTCTACTTGCTTCCTTTCAATTCTGTCGTAGATGCCACATCTGACTTTGTGCTCGCTGCTTACGTTGTATCCTGAAGAAATCAAATAAGTTTTTTTTTGGGCTTTATGCTTTGGGTTCTATTCCCGTTGCGGTTAAGGATTAACTCAAGGAGAAAAGCCATCTGCAGTTTAACCCTGACAATGCTTCACTTGTGAGACGACGGCTTCCAGAAATTATACAGGATCAACAAGTCTTATTTTCACTTCCTCGTGGACAAACTAACTATGGGAAATGATTTCCTGCGTCCTATTTATTCCCATGCCATTATTATCGTGTCTTCCTTTATCATCGGCCCGTGGACTGGATAAGCTTACTAGACAGTCTGCCGGCAGTCTGGATATCTGTACTAGGCTTAGCCCATTCAAAAGGAAAACAACTTAAGGTTTTATGAGATTTATTCGTTCTATTTTGTTTTAAGGTGATAGTATAATTTTCTCACAATGATATGACTAGAGCTGATGTTTCCACTGAATTTCACATAGCCTTGCCTTCCCAAATGTTGTTCCACCTATGCGAAGTTGAAACAGCAGTTGACCCTGAATGAGACCAACTGTTGGGAAATCAAGACTATGTGAAACTCATTGGTAATTTCAGCTCTACTCATATCATTGTGGGAAAATTCTACTGCCAGTCCTTCATCACCTTAAACGAAATTGAGTGAATACATCTCATATTACTGATTTACTGGTAGTCTCATAACTCTACTTAAATACGAAACATAATCTAATTTATTAAGAATGATGCTTGCTAATTTACATTTTTGAATATGGCCAGTTATTTCACGATAAAATATGCGAAGAAAAGTTGGGTCTCGAGGGATCTCTTGTTTCATAATTGTTGAGCTTACTTCTATTTCGAGTGAAAGTTTTGGGTGAAGAGATTCGAAGGTCGGTTCCATCAGAAGACGACGGCGGATTCCTTTTGACCAGCTGTCGATTGGCTTTAGTTCAAAGTTAGACAAACTGTCGCTCGGTATAAATGTACCCGCAAAAGAGGTGAGCTGAAAGAGGTCTATTTTGCCAGGAAAGTCCTACATCTCGAGCTTCAAGGAATACTGGGGTTGTGCGACCCTTGACTGACGAAGTTTCCTTGAACTCGTTCAAGAGTTGAAGGCATCCAATGGTTCCAATGAGACGATTGAACCAGGTTGAGCCTGCACTCAAGCCCAGATAAGGACGGCATAATAAATGTTATTTTTTCGAATTTCGTGACTTCCAGTAAATCAGTAATATAAGATGTATTCACCCAATTTCGTTTAAGGTGATGAAGGAGTGGTAGAAGAAAAATTTTCCCACAATGATATGAGTTAGCTGACGTTTCCATTGCATTTTCATATAGCCTTGCCTTCCCAAAAGTTGTTCTCATCAAGGCACCAATGGACTGCGGTTTCGACCTCGAATCGGTCTTATAAACACCCTCAGCGGGAGTCGAACCGCGACAATGTATTCCACCCTGGATTAGAACAACTTTTGGGTAAGCAAGGCTATGCGAAAATTCAATGAAAACGTCAGCTCAACTCATATCATTTTGGGAAAATTCTTCTTCTACCAGTCCTTCATCACCTCAAACAACATTGTGTAAATACATCTTATATTAATAAATGTTAGCCGCAAATTCAATTAGTCTCTTCACTTTATAGTAAATTAAATCAGAATGTCTCCTAATACAAAGCAATAAACGATACATCCTATCGGTTATGTCTATTTATTTTGTTGCCATGATTCCATTTTACTTAAACCAGCTAACTATGATTCAAGTATGGCACGACAACACAGGACCAAACCCAGGCTGGTTTCTGGACTCCGTTACGGTACTAGACACGAGACGAGGGCTCAAATACTTATTTGTAGCCAGACGCTGGCTTGCCAAGGATGAATCAGATGGACGCCTGGAGATTACTCTGGAGCCCAATCAGGTGGATAAAGTTGATAAATGTGAGTCGCCATTATTAAAATTCGTGTACATTGAAACTTTTTCGAAACAATCATCGTCAAATTTATGACGGATGAGTAGAGATGAAGAGAAAGTATACAGGATCTCTTAAAAAAACGACAAATTGTGCGAAAATGGCAATAAAGAACGATCGTTTGGAAATTTAAGTCTGCAAAACTCCAGAAATGTCTTCTAGTACCATATAGGATCTACCAAATCTAAATTGTGCCTATTGGCGGCAGCAACATTGACCGGCCAAACAGTACAACTGAGCTCAGTTGTACAAGCAGATGATCTTTCCCACTGTCCATCAGTGATGGGGAAATTGCATCAGAATTCTCTCTATTATAAGTGTGCCAGGCAAGAGCTCGTCTTTCTTCTCATACATGACCGTCGACATTCTTTCGTTCTATTGTGATTTGATATGTCTTGAGGACAACATTTTGAGTCGGATTATGCATGCTACAAAGCTATAAGACCCATTTACGGGTCCTCAAGTACAATTACCTACCGAGAATAGGTGAAATTGTAAGTAGTTGTGCCAACATAGATATTGGCTTTAGCATACTTTGAACATTTGGGAGCATACTCTGCTGTTCATAGCCTTCATTCATGAGATATGGAGATATTGACGGCCGTCTACTCACATTTGTAATAAGTAGACTTTCGAGACTATTTGCCCATCTTGAATACAACCTTTAATCATCCTACTTGATGAAGGACTGGCAGTTATTTTCCCACTATGCTATGACTAGACTTCGCAGTACCAGTGAAGCTCATTTAGCCTTGCCTCCCACAAGGTGTTCTCATCCAGGCCGGACTGCAGATTCAGCCTCGCAAGGGTCCCTTCACAACTGCAAAGTTAATTTTCGACATGTCACCGTTACTCCACACTGCACTGATGCCAGGCCCCTCCGATGACAAATTTTTACTTTGGCACTATCGATGAATCGAGCATCTCTCAGCCGTCACGATTGACAACGATACTTTTATTCGTAATGACTAGTCTTTTGCGATTACGAGTTGACCTTGAATAGGAACTATAGTCACCTGATAGAAAGTTTTCCCACAATTATATTGGGAAGGCCTCACAATGCCGAACAATTTTACTTAGTCTGGATGAAAATTTTATTTTGGGTAGCAATTATAATCGAAATTCAATGGCGTCGTGAAGCTCACCTATATCATTGTGGGAAACTTGCTTATCAATCCTTCACCACATTAAGCTACCAAGGTTGATTAGAGTGCATAGGTTGTTGCAGCTCCTGCCAATGTTCTATTCTAATACGCACCAAAGTATACAGATTTCTCTTGACATCTTACCCAGATGCCTATTGGGTTATCTTGCATCCAATTACCATCGTGGAGTTCAATAGATCATACAGAAATAGAGCCATCCATTAAATCCATTCTTCGGTTGATAGACCATTTTCTTATCCAACTTTTGATCGTCAACCAGAATGTTTGGAGCAAAATTACTGTTGCTTGCTTAGTGATAAAGGTTTGAATATGATGTGTTGATCTAGGAGAGTTAATTTCTATTTGTTTTCTATGGCTCAACTGAAGACGTCTCACTGCTCAACCTTCTCTGTGCTATCTTCGCAATTTTGTGAAAGGCCTCAGTAACATCTTCGATGTTTGACACTTTATCACATCAAAGTAGCCATGGAGACCGTCACCAGCGGTCTTCACACATTACTTTCAATCAAATGGGCAGTTGAACTTAGATGAAACTAGACTTTGCCAAACAATTTTTAACGAGTTCCAGCTCTGATGATGTCCGTCATGTAATGGAAGAGGGAGGATGCTTCGTGAGATGCGTCGACATAAACAGGCTAAAGGTTGCAGTACAACAGCGACTAGTCGCGGTATTCTGATGATCTTAGAATCTCTTCATTGTGCGCTTTCATAGAAAATCAAAGTCCCTCTGACAAGAATATTTTAGGAGATCTACTCTTCGTATCTACAAAGTGGACTTAAACCGCGATACAGTTGATATCTTTTGTTAACATTACGGCAAATTGCTTCAGCAAATTTCTTAATTGTCCTCCCTTCTTATTTCTCCATCCTACGGCCTACATTTTTGTCTGCGCTAAACTTCGGTCCCCACGCATTCGTGGTAACTAAGCCATTCCTTATGAGGTGACCGTGTATACCGGGGACCTTGCTGGAGCTGGAACAGACGCTACAGTCTGGCTGCAGATTTACGGTGATAGAGCCGAGAAGAATAAGACTGAAGTACACTTTTTGCGGTCAAGATCAGACAACTTCGAACGAGGCGCAGTGGACAAGTTTAAAGTAACATCTTGCATCTTCATTTTTGGTTTTTAGGAACCATCATGTTGTTGCTTGATCATTAAAGAACAAGTATGTATGAAACCAAAACTTATCGAAATTCTTTACGATAATCTTCGAAAGCAGAACATCTTTATTTCACAAATTGTTAATGGTTAATCAGTGTCCCATGTCATAGTATTCATGATTTTCAGTATTGGACCACTGACTTGGTACATTCGCAAACGTTTCGCCGGCATAGTCATTGTGATGCGCCACTGCTAGCACAGAGGTAAAACTTAACAACTGGTACCGGCGTTGGTGATAATTACGCTTCACTGAGCCCACTTGTAGCGGCATACTCTTAAGCATCATTGGAGGAAACGAGGGCAAATAATTATGTGAATAGGTGAATGGGTCATATGAAGTGTGATTGAGAGAAAGAGATGCGACACTAAAAGGTAGAGCAAAAACCAAGTTGCGACAACAAGGTCGAACCAACACTATAAAGCTAAAGGTGACTGCGACCAAGCAGAAGGCCACACCATCTTGGTCTTCATATTTATGATTTAAATTGTTAAGTTAAATATCCGGCTTTAAATCAAAATATTTTATGTTTCGTCTCTAAAAAGGATCAATTTGATAGTATTCTCTCGAAAAGTTACTTTCACAGACTATAGTATTAAATTCAACGTTGTGTTGTTATAATATTGCTTAATCTTTTAAAAAGCGTGCAAATATTTTTTGTGGTCATAAGTGGAATAAAAAATGAATATGTTGCCACTTCTCTATAAAATCGGAGGCCTTTGCTTTCTCCACTTAAATTGTATTGCTGTCCAAAATTATTTAATTCGGATCCTTTGAGTACAGATAATTATCTAATCGGGCCCCTAAGAAAAATGATTGCTTAAATAATTGTGACACCTGAAATTTGTATACAATATGTTCCTCCAATTTAGATCATAGAAATGCATTTTATTATTCTTCAAGACATTGTTCCACCAGTTGCCATTCGCAATGAAGATCCTGAAATAACTCTTGATTTTGACAGACTTAGACCACTCAAAGCATTGTCTTTGGTTAGAAATCTCGTGGGGCTACTCTCCCGGCTTCACTTAGAGGCCCTTTAATCCCCTAGGTTGAATAGTATTGGACCGGTAGCATTTCAACTCGGTCGCTATGTGACACATATTTCACTTTTCTCTGTCTCCCTTCTTTTATTTACAGCCCGAGTAATGTTGCTGCAAAGAGGCACTAACTGAAATCAATTGCGGCATCCTTCTTGAGTTGGATTTTATGGTTCTTTGATGGAATTGAAGCATATCAGTTGGTACTTTGTTGTGCCAGAAATTCGTCGTCGTCGAGCAGGATCTGCTTCTAACCTCAATGATGCATAGGGTCAGGTTATGTGATATGAGATGTA